CCCGCGGGAGCCGGCCTCGGACCCCGGGCACAGCTGGCAGCGCCAGGGCGGCGACCTGGAGGCCCCCAGCCAGCACTCAAGCGGCGTGCCCTGGGGAGACCGACCAGCCCATCGCCGCCCCGGCTCCGCGGCTACAAAAGTGGCGGGCGCGGCGGCGTTTAGGGAGTTTTGGCCGCTTCCGGGCCCGGGCCCGCCCCCGCCGCCCCGCCGGACGCCGCCGAGCATGCCCAGTGCGCGCCCAGCCCCGGGAAAGTTTTCTGGAGACGCCGGGGGCTGGGCTCGGAGGGCGGGAGGCGGTCCCGGCCAAGGACGGGGTGGGAGGGAGCGGGCCTGGCTGGCGCGGCGGCGCTTGGCACTACCCACCGCAGACCCGGAGACCCCCCTGCTCCTGAAGATTCCAGGGGCTCCGAGTGCCCCTCCACGAAGGCCCACATTGTTCTCTAAGTGTGGGGTGTGCAGGAGGCAGCCAATCAATGATTCCCTCTCATCACTGATGTTTCCATCTGTCTCTCCCTCTCCATTCGTCTCTGAAATCAATAAAAATATATTAAAACAACAACAAACTAAAGCTTGGGTAACCAAAGAAATAGCCCCCATAAAGCAAGACCCCAGGTCATTGCCCCCACAGACCTCCCCAGGAGTCTCGGAGATGCTTCTAAGGACGCATTTACAGACCCAGGCGTCAGCATACCTGTCCCATCGCCTGGTGGCAACACCTGGGGGAGCCACTTTTCCCTCGAGTGTCAGTTTCTCCATCTATAAAAACTGAATCTGGGTAACAGTTCCCAGCCTGCCCCCCGCCCCCCGCCCCCGAAGGGCTGATGAGGAAACGATGAAAAAACTAGAAGTTTGAGCTGCACGTCCAGGTTAAGAACAGGGAAGCCATTCTCAGCTGTAGCAGCTCCCGGTGGTCCCCTGCCCCAGCTCTCCTAGGGAATTAAGCTCCAACCTGTAAGAGTGTGTGTATGTGTGTGTGCACACGTGTGTTCCCTGCTGTGCCCCCAGCCCCCAGGACAAGAGCTGGCACATAGTAGCTGCTCAGCTAATGTTTGCTGCGAGAAAGAGCAAGCTGAACACATTTGGTTGTTTCTCCCCACACAGGCGTGCGATCCTCCAGGCCCTGACCTTGTCTGGTTCCTTGCTGGCCTGGTGCTGGTTGGAGCGGCGGGTTTTCTGTAAATGCCCAGGAATGAATGCCCAGGCAGCCTCTGGTTTCTCCAGGGGCTGGGAGCACACTGTCTTAGAGCAGTGGTTCTCAACCTTCCTAATGCCGCGACCCTTTAATACAGTTCCTCATGTTGTGGTGACCCCCAACCATAACATTATTTTCGTTGCTACTTCATAACTGTCATTTTGCTACTGTTATGAATCGTCATGTAAATATCTGATATGCAGGATGTATTTTCATTGTTACACATTGAACATAATTAAAGCATTGTGACTAATCACAAAAACAATATGTAATGATATATGTGTTTTCCGATGGTCTTAGACGACCGCTGTGAAAGGGTCGTTCGGCCCCCAAAGGGGTCGCGACCCACAGGTTGAGAACCGCTGGTCTTAGAGGAAAGAAAAGGCATTGAGACCCGATCTTTAAGAACAAGTTCAGAGGCAGTGGTGGCCTGTGCCGCCCAAGGTGGCCACGGGGTAGAGGTGGAGGCCAGGCTGGAGTCGGGCCTGCCCTGAGTCCCCTGGCTCTCACTCCGCCTCCTCCATCCCCAGGTTTGCTGAGAAAGTTAGAGATCCTCAGACTGAACGCTTGGTGGACTGTAAGCGCCCAGTAAACTGCTCCAAGCAACGCCCTCCTCCGCTGCAGGGCACCCCTCTCCGCTGAAGTCCGGAGGCCCAGGGGAAACCAGGAACCCTCCCAAAAGTCCGCCGGCTGGAAAACAGCTCCCACCGGGCATGCTCAGGACAACCGCGGGGCTGGGGCGGGGGCGGCTCAAAGTTTTGGGCGGAAGATCCAGGCTCCTCCCTCCGGCTCAGGCAGCGCCGGTCCCGGGAAAGAAGACCAGGGAAGGAGACTACACAGGCCGGAAAGTCGGGAGAGCGCGCAGCGCCCCCTGGCCCGCCCCCGGGCTCAGCGCTCCGGGGCTCCGAGTCCCGGCGCCGCCAAACCTGGCGAAAACGTTGCCCCGGGGCGGGGGGGCCCGAAGGGGTGCCTTCCCGGGCGGGGGGGTATGCTGCGGGGCCGCCCTCCATAACCACCCTCGAAGGGACCGGGGGGGGGCTTCTGGGTGAGTGGGGGGGGGGTGGGGGGTGGG